GGACGTGGTGCCAGACGTCGACTCCGACTTGAACGTCATGCTTTCCTGTAACATTCCTTCGGTTCGGTTCCGGATAGGGTGAGGCTGAGACGTCTCTATAGGCGAGGATAGGGCTGCCGTGGGCGGTGATGGTGGAGGACGGTGAAGGTTGGGTGTCGAGAGTGGGTGCTTGTCTCGCTTGAGAAATGTTTGCGGTCCTACAAGCTGGTGGAAGGTGCTTGTATAGGCGAAGGCAGTGGTCAGTCGTGTGAGTGGAAATACAGAGCAAGAGCCGGTGGGGTGATGGCCTGGGTCGCAAGAGAGCGTTGGGCGGGCGTAGCACACGGACCTGCCGCGCCCCGTGGCTGTGCTAAGATGATGTCGGGTTCGGCCGAATCACTCGCTGATTGGTTCACGATGCGGCTGTGCTGTGGACTGCCGTGATTGGCCTGATGCGAAGCAGTGAATCGTTCCTGAGGCAAGAGCTATACACAAGCAAAGTACGGGCGTTCTAACTCCTCGGTCATGTGGCGTTTCTTTCGTCTCGCACAACATGAGACGAAAACCGTTGTCTCGTGAGGAGAAACTCGGTCGGCCAACGGCAGAGCCTGCTACGAACCAAAAAATGAACCCTTCCAGCATGCCGAGACCAGGTATCCCCAACCAAATACCTACTCAAGTCCAAATCGACCATTTGACTCATTCTACTGTTCTACATATGACATATTGCCTTTGGAATTCTTCTCAACGGCGAACCTTGCGTGCACTAGCAAGCATACAACATGTGCATCACCTGCAACTCTGCGACGCCAGAACGCCATTCAGGTGACTCTTTCGGACGTTCTTCGCTCTTACTACACCGTCCGACAAAGTCGTTCGCCCATCACCAGTATCACAAGGGAGCATCACTCTGGACTCCGTTTCATACCCCTGGAGGTTCTGGTTTGCTCGAGGAGGACTGCAGCTTGGAGCAATGCCTTTCCGCCTGCTCGTACACCGCCCTAGATTCCAGCTCGGCATAGGCAACAACGCGAAACTGCATGCCTGCATGGCAAACTGTTCGGATACCAGCAAAGTCACACTCTAGTTGTCGTCGCGATCCCAAACTCTGGGTAGGATTGCGGGGGGACCGGCGGATCTCATCGCTCTATTTACCGTCACACAAACTTATCATTCCCCTGATCACTCCGTCATAACAAACCTCAAGGGTTACAACGCCATCAGAAACAAGCCCCAGCGCTCTATTGGACCCCAAAGGCTTAGCAGTGGCTCGGTCGCGAATCCGGTCTCCTAATTCGTCTAGGTGCAGAGTCAGCCACTCCCGCGACCTCGGGACCCACCCATCCACCAGCCTGCAGCAGACCGTCGCGCCCTTTGCGGCAGGCAGGAACGCGCCAGAGCTGTCAGGAGGCTCTCCGCAGTCTTATGTATATCCACTCTATCCTGCGTCGATCCGTTACATCCTTACGTCCACAGCCTGATCATCAGTGCGCGATTTGTGCAAGGCTCCATACCCTACCACGCCTACCTAGGTAGGTCCCAAACCGCCATCGCACCTCATACAAAAAAAAGGCTAAACAGGTCTGCAGACTACATCAAGCTGAAAACTTGCAAAGTAGGTGACCCAACGTCGACGTAGACTCCAGGGTGTTTAGGTTTTCCTTGGGTTGGCGTCATCGTGAACACAGCAAGCGCGCCGTCCCGAGGTCATGTTGCAACCCCCCGAGCCGGCCTCGAGGCCGCTCAGTATAAGGACGACGGGTACCAGTGCGACCCAGCAGGACAAGACTGGAGAAACCTGGAAGATGAACGTTACCAAAGAGAATTGCTGGGAGGATTTAATACTCACGCTAGGTACGTCAAGTTGGTTCGCTATGTGGGGAAGGGTCCAGGAGGTGTAGCGCGACGAATGCGCGCAACGCTATGAGTGCTTGAAGATGTATAGTCGAATGTGGGGGGCAGCTGTGGCATCTATTGGAACTCTGAGCAGATACTAACATGGTCGATAGATGGGGGTGGCATTCGCGGCTATTCGAGCCTCCTGATCATACAACGTCTCATGCACGAAATCGCCGTATGCGAACGCCGGATACAAGAAGACGAAGGCCCCGTAGAAGGCTGCCAACGACGCGAATTCGACGAAAACGAGCTACTGCCATGTCATTACTTCGACTACATGTACGGGACGAGTACGGGCGGCCTCATAGCGGTTATGCTGGCTAGGTTACGAATGAGCGTACCACAGTGTCTGGAACTATACCGTAGAGTAGGGCATGAGCTTTTTGGGCATAAAAGGAGCGTGCTGCCACTTGCTACCAAATACCACCACGAGCCGTTGGAGAAGGCCGTGCGAGATATTGTGAAGCAGTACTGTAAGGAGCACAACAAATGCACAGGAGACGACTGGCATCCATGGGTTCTGGAGGAAGAGGATACACCAGCAAGAGTGCCATTGAATGAGTCAGGGGTAGGCTCCTTGCAGAGCTCGACTACGTGGTCAAGTGGTGGTGCGCCTTCATTCAGAGGCAAGCCAACAGAGCGGATATGTCAATCAATCTGCCTCACTGCCACCCACTCCGGCCAAATCGACGAAGCCTACCTCCTCCGTTCATACAACCACCAATACGACCCCGATATCGCTCCGCCTTGGGTCACGTCTTACAACGCCGGTGCCGACAAGTTGAAGATATGGCAGGTAACGCGGGCCACTTCAGCAGCCCCTTTCTACTTCGAGATGCTCACGGCCGACATTGGCAGCGGCAAGAATAAAAAGCGAATGAGCTTCAAAGATGGAGGAATTCGCGAGAACAACCCCTCCTACGCTGCCTATAGTGAACACGCCTCGCTGAAGGGCGACGACACAGAGCCAGGACTGTTGCTTTCTATCGGAACAGGACGACCAGATACCTCGAACGACGGATTCGCGGCAGTTTGGCCTGGTCCTTTGGGCAAAGTCAAGGCGCTGCAGAAGTGGAGCGAGAAGTTGGCTGTCTTCAAGAACGTCTTGATCAAATACACCGAGGGCGAGGACCGTCATAAAATGATGCGAACAATAGCTAAAGGAGAGCATCGCTGGTATAAGCGCCTGAATGTTGACAAAGGACTTGAAGGCCTGCCACTCGACAACTGGGTGAAGGGACCTTGGACGAACCCCCAAACAAACGAAAGAAAAGAAGTTCCTGGTGGCAAAACACTTTCAATCATGGAAGAAGCGACAACGGCATATCTTGAGAGAGACAATATCGCCAGTCCAGGAGGCCTGACCGAATATCGGCCTCCTAAAATTGTTCTTCAACAGGTCGCGGAGAGACTGGTACGGCATAGAAGGCTAAGAGAAGCGACGAAAGAGGAGGATCTCAGGAGATGGCAAACTCACATGGGTCAGTGGCTTACTGGAGAACTTAAACCAGAGGATGCCATGCGCGTGCCGGTCCAGTCAGCGCCTAGAAAAGGATCACGGGGCTTCGTGTCAGGGTCGCGGCCCATTACGCCCAGCGGCAAAGCACCCGACATCGCTTCGTGACGCCCCGAGCTTTCCGGATAATTCCGATATCCGGCTTTCGTCTCCCACACAGGTGGTCGCCAAAGGCTCTCCCATACGAAGAAGCTCGTCTTTATGATTTGTACCCTCGCACCTTGGAGATGTACACCTTGCTGTGTTCCATGATGTGTGGATGTCGAACACAGCAGCGTGTACATTCTCGGTGTAGACTCCGAGTGTTAGGTGCAACTCATAAGAAACGAGTTTCTTCGTAAGTCAGCATGACTCCCATGCGCACAGCCACGATTCATACCCACCGCCGGTGTTGATCAACAGCCCGTAGCTTTCTGCAAAGCTTTTCTCTGCAGCATAGCGCGTCGCACCGGCGCACAGCATCAGGACTTGCTCGGAGTTGTCCCTTCAAGGCAATTATCATGGGAGTTTGGCGTTGTACTGACCTTCTGAAATGAAGTTTGACACTTCTGTCCATTCCACGTAGCATGTAGCATAGCGGCGCATCAAGATACCATCTATATTGTCATATTTCGGTAATAACATACAGTCTTCTCGCTATTCCCTGGCCACTGTATTCCCATGCGACATCTCTGCAAGCTTCCACAAAGATAGAAACCAGGTCATACCGCTTTCTCAGCCTCACACGACGTGCGACTGCCCACCACGTAATCGATGGCGGTGCGGGCATGGAACATGTGCATTATTCACTTGGCTCTCACTTGGCAGGAACATCCGCAGAGCTTGGTAAAAGCCTGATCAAATCAGGATCCCAACGCTTCGGCAGGCAGGTGAAGCGGGGAGGATTTCCTCAGTCGACGAGAGGGCCTGACTCGATCCACATCACCGTGACCTCATGCAATAGTATTGCATTGATCACTCAACCGCAACCCACAAGTTCTCCGCATTCTCACGTTGATGGCTGCCAAGACCCACTATTACCGAAGCCATGTGGTGTATCCTGCTTTTTTTAGACGTTTCTTGTAACTTTTTCTTGAAGACTTGGCTACGCGTAGGCGTGTGTGCTGTTCGCAGAGCTGTCGCGTCGCGGCAGGCAGTGCTGAGTGCGACACAAGACGATCGTCCTGGACAAGCAGCCCAATAACCTCACTCGCCAAGCTTCTAGGAAGTGACGGAGGCTTGGCACGCCATCTAACTCCATGCTTGGACGTCTGGCGACAAGGCCTTGATCCCCATCTACCCCATGGCAAACCTCCACCCGTGATAACCGACAACGGCCCGATGTTGGCTGGGGCGCAGGGCGGAGTCTGCTGTCAGACGTAATCCCCCCGGTGTGATGTCAAGCCTGCGTCTGTGCTAGGAACAGCAACGTTTGATTGGATGCGCAAGCAAGGCTGTCTGAGAAGGGAAAGTAGGCACGCGAGCAGTTTCCGCTGGTATATAGTTCCCTCAGACTTCCCACGATGAAGGGCATCACCAACGCAAACCACCGTCTTCACTACTCAACAACAATACAACACTCTACGACTCTCGCTTGAGATTACTACTACCAACGCCTTCCACAACAATGCATTTCCAGAAGCTCGCTATTGTCTTTGCCCTTTCTGCCATCGGTCTTGCTCAGGACGTTGACCGCGACGATGTCCCCCAACAGTGCCGCCAAGTTTGCGATTCAGTCACCAGGCTGACACGCGACTGTGACAACAGCACCAGTAAGTTTTCCTTCATAAATGAGTCTAGTTCGAGCCAGTGAACACCCATATACTAACTTCACATTGCAGACGACGACATGGCCGAGCGCCAATGCATCTGCAACGGCCAAAACGCAAACACTGCCGTTCCCCTCTGCGCAGCATGCATCATGCAGAATGGAGGAGAGATGGACAATGGTACGCCTTGATTTCCTCTCCTTACCTACTCCTCCCATCTCAATCTCCATACTAACACTTACACAGACGTAAACGACATCGTCCGTGAATGCGCCTTCACCACAACGTCCTACAACCCATCCGCCGCTTCTACAGCACCCCCGGCTTCTGCTTCCGGTACGTCTGCCGCTCCGAACGCTTCGAACGCTTCTTCCAGCGGTCCCGGTCCCATGACAAGCATGTCAGGGACTGCTTCGCGTCCTTCTGGTATGCCGTCTAACACCGCTTCAGCGACGGGTGCTTCCGGTTCTGGTGGTTCTGGCACTGGTAACAGTCCTTCGGGTACGGGTGCTGCTGGTTCCGGCGATGGCCCTGGCAATGCTGCACCCGCCAACATGGCTTCTGCGGCTTTGGGACTTGGTGGTTTGCTCGCGGCTCTTGGACTTGCCTTGTAGATATGGTCGTTGCAAAGCTTGTTAGTAGAGATTATGGGTGGTGTGGAGGTAATTTATCAGGTGGATGTTGCTGCTGCTCTGGGCTAGTTGGTTGACGAATTCAATGAAATCTAATATCAGACATAATGTCCAGCCTATGTGACTGATTCCGGAGTTGCATCCATTGCTTTTGCTAATCTACTGACCAGGCTCAAAGAAATCGCTATTCGCTAAATCGCATTCGCTCACTGAGAAAACATGCTTCTGATCTCCGCATCCTCCTCCTCCATCTCCGCCAACTTCTTCCCTGGCAATCTGACAGCGCGATCAAGCGCAACAGGCAAACCCCTGTGCCTACCCCTCAACATAACCAAGATCATAACAATCTTGCTTCCTGTGTACATGCCACCACTGAAACTATACGATTGATCCGGCAACCCGATACTGATTCCAATAGTTGTGTATCCGCTCACAATCTCGAATAACATGGTAAACACGCTGTATGTACGCGGGTCTTCGATAGAGTGGTGTGTTTCGATGATCGCGATGAGGAAGAGCGCAAAGGCTATCCACCATACATCGTGCGACAGTTGGCCGCGAACTTGCTGGCTGATGAGGGAAGGAGGTCGAGTTGGCGGGTGCGAGTTGAGGGAATGAATCGACATTCGGTTAAAGTCCATAGTCACTGCTCGCTTTAAGGGTGCAGGGGCTGCGGGCACGTTGGCGACACCGACACCCTGAAAGGCTGTCATGCGGTGCTGAAGTTGACGGCCTACGAATGCAGTGCCGCGACGGCCGACTTTACCCAGAGACTTGATAGGCGCAAGAGACGTCTTCTCGTTCTGTGATACAGCGGTGGTCAAAGAAGGCATCGCGGCGTCGACATCGAAGAGTGAGCTGGACGCCGAGTGGAGTTGTTCTGGCTCAGCCTCATCGCCCTCGTATATGCCCAATGAGCGTTCTTCGTACACATTGGTTTTGCGCATAGTGATGATATGAGGGTACGCCGCGGTGTAGAAGACAACGAGCCACAGGACCTGTACGTCAAAGTACATTCCCGAGGGCGAGACGATAGCGTAGCCTCCAGTTGGAATCGAGAAACCTTCGAAGAGTGAGATGAAGATGCGCTGCCCAAGTGGTATGACTTCCAGCGTCGGGTTCCCAATACTGAGAATCAGAATCAAGATCCAGTCTACTGTCACAAAAGAGCCGAAGGTTGCGATAAACAACCAGGTGTCTCGCGCAGGAAACATACTGGTATACACACGTCGTGGAAACTTGAGGATGAAATCGAAGCCTTCTTTCCATACGCCATACTCTTTGTCTTTGGAGAAGAGATCGAGAAGTGTAGACATGCTCCAGATGAGGAAGCGTACAAAGACAGGAAAGGCTGCTGGTCCGGCGAGCGACAAGATCGTTACGATGACGAGGACGTAGTATGACGACTGAAAGGGTATAAAGCCTGCGTCCAGTAGCGTAAAGCCGGCGTTACTGTACGCAGAAATAGCGAGAAAGATACCAGCCCACCAAGGATTCTGCGCATTCACAGCGCACGCTTCTCTTTCGTAGACAGACATGTAGGCCCCTAGTGCGATTCCGCCGAAGAACTGCCAGAGTATGAAGTATGCCGGCACGAACATGGAAAGGAACTTCAGGGCGCGGTACTCGACACCACCCAGGTACTCTCGCTGATCTGACGATAGGTTGAAGAACTGCCCGTTGCGGCCAATGTTGCGCTTTTGCTCGTTCACGAAGGTCTTCACGTTGAAGCTATCGCCTACTCCAGACTCTTCGGCCAGCGAACGACGACGTTTTGACATGCTCTGATGACTCTGCACGTTGTAGATTGAATGTCCTGTTGTCGTTGCTGACATGGGTCTTTCGTGGGAGACGCGTTCTCGTATGGGATCCAGAAAACCGACATGCTGGGCCAAGGTCCTTTCTCTTGCACCAGGTGATATGGGCGATAATCCGGTTTGCGCTTGGTCATCCTGGATTGGCGTACTGGGTGGCATATCCTCAACGCATGTTTCCAGCGGCGTGGCCAACTTGGATTCTGCTTTCGGCTTACTTCCCTTCTTGTTCTCTCCAAATGACCCCATAATCGGCAGCCCAAACATAGCTCCCGTCATTCCTACCACAGCCCCAACCTCGCCCTTCCGCGCATTCCGCCTCTCTTTCTCTGCCTCCACGATATCCTCGAACCTCTTCTCGAAGATGTGTTTCCTGAAAGCAACGGTGAAGTAGCTAACCAGTACCTGGCTTCCCATCATCATCAAAACGGCCAATTCCACTTGCTGGAAAGTGGTGAGCTGACTAACGTTCACGGAATTGAGTCCAGCCGCGGTCATGGCCTAAAGATGGGTGTACGAAGTCAGTGTTTGTCTCACATGCAGTTCGTACATAGGCAATTACTTACGCTCATGCACATGAACATGCTGTCCCACCACCCAATGCTTTTGGATGGGTTTGACGCGCCCCAGAAGATGAGTGTACCCAACAGGGTAACACTGATGAAGTAGGCATAGTGAAGCGTAATGAAGTTGACCGGCGGAATGTATGGCTTCACTGTCTCAACAAGCGTGCGTATCTTAGGATGGTTCTCCTCGAAAGCCTTCCATCTTTCTTCGATCCGATCCATCATGGTTCAGTCGCAGTTGCAGCAAACAGTTCCAGATGGGGCGACTGTAGATCGTATCGGTTTCGGGTTATCGGAGTAGCATGTCGCGTAAGTTGTTGAGAAACCGAGATTAATTGTTCGGGAGAGTCGCACAAGAGTCGCGGTGTGTAGATCAAGATTTCGAACAGAAAGGATCGTTTGATCAACGCGCAATAGATGCTGAAAGAGGGGATAGAAGTTTGTTAAAATGGGATTGAGAGTCGAAGAAAGAAATGTGAAGTGACGTTCTGGCTGATTGCGCGTGTGCTGGCGAGTACGCACGCCCAAATATAGCGATAGGGGATAAAACAGGGTCTAGGGTGGCGCGGACACGCCGGGAGAGGAAGGGCCGACCCTGCAGACCAACGAAACACCACGATAACGTTCATCCACATCGTCTTTATGCACTTCACCGCCTCTCATGACTTCTTCCGGGTTTCTATCTCTTGTATTCGCATGGCATGCGTAGATCTGCCCATGATAAAACTGCCTTTGTCCTACCTTCTATTGGATGTCTCCGGCAACAATGTTCGTGGCCGTGCTTCTGAGCTTTGCGATGGCTGTTGCAATGTAGTGGGCTACTTAGTGTGTCACAGGCATACAGGCTTACGTATCCACATCCACGTGCTCAACAGGTAAGGCTGAAGAACCTTGGAACGCATTAAGGCTGTAGTCGGGTTTACGAGGCAGATGCGGAGCGTGAATATCGTGATCTTTAGTCGGTAGCCTCACTACGACCGCTACGGTAGAGCGCACGTATGATGAATCGCAGCTTGGTCATCAATGATTTTGGTATACCAGGAGTTGGGTAAGCCTTCTTACCAACAATATCAGCTCCATTGGCCCAATGTGCATCTGTACCATGTGAACCTCTCTGGACAACCAAATCATGGTTCTGATTTCTTTCAGCTCAAGGCACATTGGTCAAAAAGGGAACAAAAATTTAGAATGTGTGCATGGTTACATGGTCGCTTCAACTTGGTAGCGAAGTTGAATATTCTTGCAATTTCTTGCTATACAAAAGTTTTGAGGTCTTCTCTTGCTTCACCAAAATTTCCACCGACACACCAATTCCAAGATACGGAGTCTCTATAATTGAATACGAAGAGAGCTCAATTGTGGCCACGCTCGTCAACACACACAAAACACATACTTTGTCACCATATACCGCGTTCCCAACCATCCAGTCTCACCAACCATCGAAACAGAATGGGAGAGATACAACAACACCCTCCTCAGCCACTGCACACCCGCACGCTACAACATTTCAAGATGATCGAAGATCTAACCACAACCCTGCACGAAGACATACAACGACAATACCAGTACCACAAAGTTATGTACGGAGATCTAGAACACGAGTATTTATTCCAAGCGATGTTGGCATGCGATCAAGAGATGGACAGTCTCGTCATCGAGTACGAGAGAAAAGTACCACATCACACGTGTGGAGAGGGAGCAATTAGGCTATGGGCCGGTACCGGCGAAAGAATCAAGCAAGCTGCGCTTTGGAAGGAATTCGAGAAAACGGAGTGTCAGTTGAGAAGTCCTCGTGCACAATACAAGCGGGTGACAACTCAATTTCAAGAAGAAATTGGTCGGTGGGAGGAATGCTCGACCGAAGTCTTGACACCGTCAGTCGTTTGTTTCAGTTTGATGCCGTCGCCGCGGTCCTTGGCTGAGGAGCTTGATGCTACGGATCTTGATGAGAGGGATAGAGAGCTGGCTGAGATTTGGCGGGGAGGAATGGGTATCGCAGGTGAAGATGAGGCGGAAGTTGATTGCACCGCCGCTTCGGAAGTGGATACTTGTGGAAGCGGCATAGGGACAACCGAGAGCGATGACGGCTCTTCATGAAGCCTGGAACTGGTCCGTCAACGCGATGACGGTAAAGATGAAGAAATCACAGTGCTGCTTCCTAACGATCCTAGCGCTGATACACTATTCATTGGTGCGACGCGTGAATGCATGACTGGGGACGGTGGTTACTCTGGTGTGATTTTCGAATGAATTTATTCATACCAGCTTTGTTGGTGGCCTACGTTTCTGGATGGATTTATAAGCGCGGAGTACTTGAGCTTGGGTATTAGAAAGGTTTCGGACCGTCAGCGTTCAACGTACTTTATTCATGTCCTACAATATATCTATTACACTCACGTGAGCGCTCTCCCGTTATGTGAGCTTGAACAGCTTCCCGCCTACACCATCCCACTCTTCATCCCAACGATGTTCGCTCTCCTTCAGTGCGCCCTCCTTCAACGTCTCTCTCAGCCTTGTATCGTTGCCGAAGAAAGTAGCCAGATGTAAGGCGAGCTCTTCAGAGCTTTGGAAGCCAAGTCCATTTACACCTTGCTTGACAAGCTCAGGCCAGGCTTCGAACTTTCCCCAACCCACGACTGGTAGGCCTGCACCGAACATATCGACCACTTTCATCGGCAGGTCGACACCTGAAGACGATGTGTGTAGAGAGACTCCCAGATCAGCGGACGCGAGTAGAAGCGCGTAGTCGGAATGTGTGAGCCATGCTGTTTTGATAACAACATTCAACAGCTTCTTCTGTTGATTGAGCTCCCGGATCTTCGCAAGGTAATACTCCTTCTGAGGGCCTTTTCCAGTGATAATGGCAAGAATCTTTGGCAGATAGGTCTTAGATGTACACTCTGCAGAATAAGCTACGAGAGCGTCAAGGAGAAGTGAGAAGTCCTCGTCGGCTGTCCAGGACGTGGCGCTGACGATAAGTTTCCATGGCGTCTTCGAAGTCGCAGAAAGATCCGAGGCGTACTCTGCTGTTTCTGGTAGTCGTGCGAGAAACTTCTCCCGATCTCGTTGTTCGATCGGCTGGAAGATAGAGGCTGGGCGATCGTGCAGTGCTTCTGCTGTCACGCCGTAGTCGTTTTTGAGCACGCGGGCCATGGCGTTAGTCACCGTGAAATGATGCGATGCAGCCTTTGCAAATATCTTCTCGTACTTCTCAGAGATCTTCACAAGAGGGTGTTTGTCGCCAAGTTTCATAGCCAGAATGGTGTAACCGAAGTTGTGCCAGTCGATGACTAGATCAGTACGTCGCAAGAAGCATACCAGGCTTGCTACAGCGAGAGTTGGTATCGAAGGTGGGTTTTGCACGAGCGTCCATCTTGCGGGCTTAGAGCGGTAACCGAGTGCGCGATGCAACGACCATATCTGCCAAAGGACTTTGAGAGGTGCTAGAACTGGAAAGAGAAGTTTGCTGCTCGAACGCAGAAAGCTTGGCGCTGGTGACAGTGGAATGATCTCGATCAGAGGATTTGATACGATCTCAGGAAGGATGTCCGACTCTTTGTGGGTTTAGCCGCTAGCAATGTCTTCAGGACAAACACCACTAACCTTGATAGCCGATGAGAAACACTTTCCCACCATGTTTGGCTATGCTGAGAGCATGGTATTGCATGCGCGGCGACCGTCCGATGTCCCCCAATACCACCACCTGTACCGAGCGGCCCTGCTTCCATAGCATCGGCTCTTTCCCATCTTTCATCTTCATTTTGATATCCTTTCCATCCTCGCCCACAAACCGAAGCGGCTTATCCTTGTAGGGATCATACTGACTGGGCAACGTCAATAGCAGCGCAGTGAACAGCGTCGACAACGTCACAACGACGCCTAGTATGACAGAAAATAGGCTGCCGTCCTTGTCGGGCGAGGTGTATTCGTCGAACATTTTGGTGTTGTGTTAGTGCTGTCCAATTGCAAGGCGGCTCGGGCAACCGTGGCAGCCGCCGCGTGCGTCAACGCCAAGGGCTAGCCACGAGATGCGGAGATCTGAGCCGGGGTAGGACCAAAAGGGGAAGGCGCTCAATGACAGTCATGTCAATCTGTAAGACCCCTGAAACTTATTGATAGTGCAGCAACGCGCGCCGCTATCGAAACACCAAGACGCCAAAGCGCTGCGTAGCCTCATTGCAGCACACTCACGCTTGCTGGCTGCGATCCACGTTGCTTTTTCCCCTCCAACACCGCCATCTTAAGGCAATTGAGCAACGTTCCATCGCGCATCGCGAGCTCCACTCGGCCAATTACCTTCACCGAGTCAAGACGACCCCATAGCGGGCGGACGAACGTGGCGTTGCGAATGGCGTCGACGTATGCGCTGCCTATCGCGCCCACCTCGCACACACACAGCCATGGCCGCTCGTCGTCACAATACACACCGGATCCCTCGTCGTACGCGAATGGCACCGTGAACCCTTCATCGCCCGCCAAAGACCACGGCCATCGACACACGCGGTCTGATATGAACGGCAACGGGCATCTGCAGGGCGCTGTGCGCTCGCCGTATACCGAGTACAACAGCCCTGCGCATGAGCATGAGCACGGGCATGAGAGGTCGGGCTCCAACGATTCCACCTACACGCTGAAGCCTTTCTCGAATGGAAGATCGAAAGGACGGGCGCGGGGTGAATCGGATCTGGGTCGCTCACCGGCCAGGAAGACACCTGCCGTTGAGAAGTATGGTTTCTCGCCGGTATCACCTATACAGGAGTCTCCAGCGCATGTGCCGCCTCCTCCTGTTTCTTCGTAAGAACCGCCTGCGACGATCAAGAGAACCACAACTAACACACTGTCTAGATCCTGGCTAGAACTGCCCGAAGCCCTTACCGCGCTCTTAATACCTCTCCCGTACCTTTTCGCCGCATTAGCATACCCCAGCGGCGTCAGACCGCCTTCCGAGCTACCGTCGAGTCTATCAGAAGCCGTGTCAGAGAAATCACCCGAACTCGAATACGCGACCGCAACAAGTGGCTTCCCATTACTACATGCGCTCGCTCTCTCGTCTGGCACGCTGCTGCTGGTCGGTGTAATAGCCAAAGTTAACTCCAGTCTACAGCCACTCGACAGGCGGAAGGAGGAGAAGGGCACATTCAATATCAGCAATGCGCCGAAACGTGTGACAAGCAACATACTCGGTGTCCTGCTGCCCTTCTACGCATCTCTACACATAGGAGGAG